GCTCATCGTCGGTTTGCATAACCAAGGCCATCTTGCGTAATGATTTATCAGTTAATAATACCAGTGAAACACAGTAGAGGATAAAATTTAAAATACTATCTTACATAAATAAAAGATTAGAAAAAAAAAAATAGAAAGCACGAGGGAGAGAGGACTCCAAAGCTAAATGAATGATTCACTCGAGCCAGGAAAAGTGCAAGCAAGATTGATCAATCTCTCGATCTCTCGAGAGCAAATATCGAGCAAAGATAAATACAGGGAACACGATGAGTTGGTCAAAAGGGAATAAACGAAACGAAAGATTCGCTGTCGGTGGCAGTACCGAACCGTTCATTGCCCCGTGTGTTACACCTTTCTCACAGAGGAGGATACGCAGCGTTTCATGAGATGCAAATGTCGGGCAGTCGGACAGCCACTGAACCGTGTTCAGCGTGTCCCTCTTCATCTTCGGCTTGGCGCTTTGAACGCGTCTGTTCGACACTCGTCGTCAACAGCCCCGCAAATCGCCGAGTTCCAAGTTATCTGCAGTCTACGAGACGACCTGCCTGGTCCACAGTTCGCGTACAAAATCTTATCAATACTTTGCATACTATGCAAAGTTAATATAGATAAAATGCCATAGCTCAGGCTTTAAGTCTCCTAAGTAGAGTTGTCGAAGATTTCGAGTGGCTGAGAAGTCTGGCGAAATACTTGGGTAAGAAGAAAACATATTCAAAGAGATCAAAGTTCAGATTGTAGAATTTCATATATGTAGAAATGTAGGAAATATAATTTGCAGTACTTGATTAAGTCTAAAGAATATACCATCATAGAACGGAGACAATTTGTTGCCTCCATCTGTGGAACCCATTGTTAATGAACAAATATGAAGTCCTTCCATCTAATCTTTCAAAGATTATTAAAAAATATTAATAAATAATTAATAAATATTCAATATAAAGATTGATTTATTGGATAAAATTCTAATCTTTTTAATTTATTATTATTTAATAAAGGGATTAAAAATAAAATAAAAATTCATATAAATAGTATAATTGCTCCACCTAACTTATTAGGAATAGCTCGTAAAATTGAATAAGCAAATAAGAAATATCATTCTGGTTTAATATGTGAAGTAATTATTGGGTTAGCCATTTTAGTTATTATTAAAATTATCAGAATCCCTCAATATACATGGACTTTGAAAATTAATGAATATAAAAATTAATAAAATTAAAAAGATTGTAAATCTTTAATAAGAAAATAAGGGTAGAAAATAATAAAATAAGATTAAATCTTTAATAAGAAAATAAGGGCAGAAAATAATTTCATAAATATTTAATTTTGAGTGAATAGGGTTTGAAGATCCTGATAAATGTAAAATCATTAAATGAATAAATACTAATATTAAAATAATTAAAGGTAAAATAAAATGTAAAGAAAAGAGTCGGTTTAATGTAGAATTATTAATTGAAAATCCTCCTCAAATTCGTTCAACAATTATTTGTCCAATATAAGGAAATGCAGATAATAAATTACTATTGCTCCTCAAAATGATATCTGACCTCATGGCAGTAGACCTAAGAACCTAAGAATGCAGTTGCTACTAATAAAAATAAAATTATTCTTCCAATTAATCAAACATGAATTAATTTAAATGAATAATAATATAAATTTCGTCAAATAGAAATGAAATTGTCCAAACAAATATGAGTAGAAACACAATTACTCTCAAGACAAGTATTCGTTTCAAAATTAGGAACAATCACAAAAAATAGCGTACAAAATCCACAAGATCTAATGAACCATACCCTTTTGATACATTTTGATGTATAAAAATAATAATAATAGTGATACATAATAGATCGATTAAATCCTGCATTCCTTTCGCTAGCTATATTGTACTATTTTCAACAGTATATCCGCTTACTATGACCAAGCGTTTCGCTGCTTTACCGGCGCCGATCGGTGATCTCAACGCCGCAGACCTGCATAGGCGAGATCGATTTCTCGGGCGGACGCGACGTGCTAGCCGGTAGCCACCGTGAAACGGAAACGTAAACGAAACGGCAGAAAAGAGCAGCGTACCGAGAGGCGCGGCTTTTTCGCGTGGAAAACCGGTACTACGAATCGCGAGCACGTAAATAATTAATGCGAATTGTGAGGCGTGAGGAAAGCGCGCGACGCGTAAGAACTTGATTACTCGGCCGAACAACACGCGGGCCTGATTTTTATTAGCTAGGAACAACGAAATGAAAGATAATTCGTCCTTCTGTCCGGGGAAAAAAATTCCATTTCGGAATTTCGACGTCTCTAACGGGCGGTAATAAAAAAGAAAAAAAAGAAAATAAAACGTAGACGTAGACTACTATTTATATGTGTGATGCGAAATACTTTATCAAACGGTGCAAGTTTTTAACACCGCGGCGAGCCAATCACTTTGTAAGTATATCTCTCAACACCTTGGTATTTACGGTTAATTTTACTCGAACATGTTTTAGTCGAGCACCTATTTTAACGAGGCGACGTTTTTTCGCGTTTCGTTTCAAATGTTTCGCATCTCGCTTCAATGCCACATGCACTGCCTCACCATCCACATACATACTTCATGAGAAATTTCTCATATGTTGCCACTAACGCGCACCTTAAGCCTCAAGACGTACCATTATCAGTTTTCAGAATGTTACAGCCCGACAATTACACATACCGATGGAATTGCCGTCTAATATGCGATTCCATGAATTCAGAGCACGGCGCTTCGTACCACGATGCTCGTTTAAGCTTAACTGCCGTAAAACAGGCTACTTTTCTTCTGCCAGCGTAAGTTTTATGCATAACTGGCCAATGGTTAATGTTACCTGAATCCAAAGCGCTTCTATCTCTCTTTTTTTTTTTTTTTTT